GTGTGTGTTTGTGTGTGTGTGGTGTGTGTGTGTGTGTGTGTGTGTGTGTGTGTGTGTGTGGTTTGTATGTAAATTTGGGAAAAAGCTACTGAAGGGAAGAAAAGAATAAAGTTAATGAATAAACGATCAAAAAATGAATGATTGATTGAACGAATGAACAAATGAGTGAGTGAATGAGTGAGTGAACATAAAATGGGAATTAAAAAATGAATGAACAAAATAATTGAACGCAGGCCCTATAGAAATGATGTACTTTTACGATGATAAATTGTTCCCCGCTAAAATTCAACAACAAGAAATTCAAAAATTTCAACAGCAACAACAACAACATCAACAACAACAACATCAACAACAACAACATCAACAATTACATCAGCAGCAGCAACAACAACATCATCAACAACATTTGTTTGATGATTCTTATAGTCCCAAGTTGGATAATTTATTGGTGAAGCAATCAATCAACAAATTGAAACCGCAACAAAAGCGGCAACAAGACGTCAATTCTCACACCATCAACAACAACAAAAACATCAACAACAACAACGTCAACAACAACAACTACAAAAACAAAAACATCAACAACAACAACATCATCAACAACAACAGTAAAAAACATCGGCGTTTCAACAAAGTCACCTCCACCGTACCATCAACCGCAACAACAACAACAACAACAACGACAACGACATCTTTTACCACAACAACTACAACAACCACAACAAAACGCCACATCTTTCGCTTCATAGAAAACCAGCCAGGGCGATTGGGCTGCCTCGCTATAAGCGGTTACCCCCTCCAACCGATGAAGATTACCCTAGGACATCGAGATATCAGCCCGCTGTTCACTCAGACGAGTCCATTTTTTTTACTAGGGGGTGTTTCAGGATTGAAGAAGATTGTTTATCGGACTCAAATCTGGACCGGAAATTTAAGTTTGAGCGCTGATGATGATCAAAATAGAGTCACGTGTTTCGCCGCAGTCGCCGGTCTGCAAGTCGCCAAGATTGAAGCTGTCGTTGATGTCGTCTGTGAGTTGTTGCTGCTGCTGCTGCTGCTGATGATGATGATGATGGTGATGAAGACGATGATAGTAATGGTGGTGGTGATGATGATGATGATGATGTTTTTGTGTTGGGTGCACCATGTATGTACTGAGCGCTTTGTGATGGAGTGATGATTATGATGATGATCTTCCTAACAATAATAACATTAATAATAATAATAAAAAGAAGAATGATAATGATGATGATGACGATGATGACGATGATGATGATAAGATCAAAATATTCCTTAGGCCAACGTGGTTAATTAGGTGGCATTTATTGCTTCTGACGATGACGATGACGACCTCGATGTTGATGGTAGTGATGATGATGACGAAGAAGATGATGATGAGGATGATGAGGATGATGAGGAGGATGTAGATGATAATGATGAGGAAGATTAAGACGCTAGTGCTGCTACTGCAGCTGCTGCTAATGTTGGTGACGAGTGCGCTGACGACGATGTTGACGACTTTGGTTATGAAAATGATGATGATGGTTGTGGTGGTGGTGACAGCGGCGGTAGCGACAGCGGCGACAACGACAATAATGATGATGATGTCGATTAAAAAACGGAAATATACCTTAGGGGAATATTAATAAATGCTTGACGCTGGAGTCAGAAGTAGAATGAATTGGAGAAATAACTCAACATCACAATTATAACAATAACAATAATCATCATCATCACAATCATTATCACAATCATCATCACAATCATCATCACAATCAGCATCACAATCACCGTCATCGTTATCATCACCAACATCATCATCATCATCATGACAGACAAACCGAAGATCACGTGCACACCGGCCTTGGCCCACCTGAGAGAGAAGAACGTCTACATAGAGTGCCGGATCAAATCCAAACCCCACTACACCTCCGTTCATTGGTTACTCAATAACACGTCATCACTGACGTCATCACTTGCGTCATCGTCGTCATCTTCGTCATCATCTTCGTCGAAACCATCATCATCGTTATCATCTTCTTCTTCTTCCTCTTCCTCTTCTTCTTTTTCTTCTTCTTCTTCTTCTTCTTCATCGTCGTCATCATCATCGTCACCAAATAGGTCATCAACTTCAACATCGTCGCGAGAAATCGCTTCAGAGATAATATCAAATAATGCCTACACTACTAATTTTCAACCCTCATCATGGTCCTCGCCATCACCATCCTCGCCATCGTCATCATCATCACAATCGTCACCACCACCTTCTGATGAAACCTTCAAATTGACATCCGGTGGACAGAAAGATGGACTGTGGTCAGTTATAACGGTGAGGCCATGATGATGATGATGAGGAAGACGACGACGATTTTATTAATAATAATAATAATTATAATAATAATAATAATTATTATTATTAATATATTTATTATTATTTTTGTTGTTATTGTTATTATCATTAGCGCGCAGATGCAAGCGTCCTTTTATTGCAATGTTGTAGATAATGTCGCGGCTCATTTTTATAGCGCGTTTTTCATGAAACTGACGATGATGACGACGATGACGATAATGATGATGGTGATGGTGGTGGTGATGAGGACAATACTCATGATGACGTTACTAGCAGTAGCCGCTGTAGTAGTAGCAGCATCAGTGGTAGTAGCAGCATCAGTGGCAGTAGTAGCAGCAGCAGTAGTAGTAGTGATGGAAGTAGTAATTTTTCAAATTACTGCTAGTAGTTGTTTGCTGGAATCGTCTCTTAACAAATTCAATTAGCGTAAAAAGTTGATTAGACCGTAGACAGACAAGACATATCCATCCATCCATGCCTATGTATGTGTCTGTGTGTGTCTGTGTCTGTCTGTGTGTGTGTGTGGTGTGTGCGCATTTGGACGTGAAGATTTTACGATGAGGATGGCGGTGTTTGTAATGTTAATGTTGATGATGCTTCGTTCGTAATGTAGCTGTAATAATGGCGGCGATGATGAATGAAGGAAGAAGAAAATGAAGAAGAAAATAGAGACGATTATGATGATGATGACGATGCAGATTGTAGTTGATTACATACATTTTAATCTATCGATTTCTCGATTTGTCTACAAATAAAAAATTGTTCTTACTGTTGCTATTGATGTTGCAAATTCTATTTGCCCATTTTGTTTCTTCTGCCCTGACGTTCTTCTCTTTCTCACTCTAACTTTCTTTTTCTTTCTT